AGAACTGGCGAGCTGTGGCTGATGACCCGCCCGGGTCAAGAGAATTTTGTATGCCTGCAAGGCACCCAGAGTTACTCTGTGGTAGGATGGGTGGTAAATAGACTGAAGAGCGGAGGGGGGGGGCAAAGGGAGGTGGGGGGAAACAGAGAGAGATGATAGATAGATAGATAGATAGATAGATAGATAGATAGATAGATAGATAGATAGATAGATAGATAGATAGATAGAGATAGATAGATAGATAGATAGAGATAGATAGATAGATAGATAGATAGGCAGGCTGCAGGCAGGCAGGCAGGCAGACCCACCTGAAAGGGAGCTAAAAGAAGGGTGCACAAAGGAACCAAATATCAGCCCTACAAGGTAGACCGGATTGAGAAACCAATGCTACTAGATCAGAACTAGTATACAGCTATACTAACAGGATCTTACAAGACTGAATGTTGTTCCCTCTCTCAAGTTATCTTTCTGTGAACTAGGGAGGGGCTTTTTAAAATATGTTTTCTCAGGTTCTTGGCCCAGGTTCAAGCACCATTTGTCTGGCCATTGCTTTGTAGCAGGTCTTCTTCCTGCCCTTCAAGGCCACTCCTTATATCCTCTACACCAGGGGTGAAGAACGATGGCCCTTTTATGACTTGTGGACTTCAACTCTCAGACTCCTGTCGGTTCAGGAATTCTGGGAGTTGAAGTCCACAAGTCAAAAAAGCTGTTAGGAATGTAAGTCACCTAACAGTTGAATTGGAAAATATATAAACCAGGATAGACATTTTAATACTGTCTCTTTAAGAGAATGCTAAAATTGTAATTGGGGGTAGTTCCTCAAACGGCCATAAGTTGGAGCCAGAAACCTGGGTTGTTGTTGTCCTTTTCTGAAGAGTGTTACCGTTCCTCATTGACTGTTGCTGATCATCATTAGTCTTGGTTTGATGTGAGTCTTTTAGTGAACTGTTTTTGATACTGGACTTTGATATTTGGATTATCCCTGGACTGAAAACTGACTGCTTTAACCGTGAATGACTTGGACTGTGTTTGGACTTTTCTTAACCATTTACTGGAAGTAAAAACCTACATTTTTACTATA